TTAAATATTTTATGAGTTAAGCTTGATTCTACTCCATTATACACTAAAAGGAGAAGAAAAAGCAGCAGCTACTAATGTCATAGATGAGTGTTTTCACTTGTTATAAATTCCATTCACCATGAAGTGACTGGACAACACACACTTCCCAAAAATAAGTGCTTCTGCTCATTGCACTTCCTTTACTGAAGTGATTTCTATTTCTTTTGATTACATGTGAACACCAAAGCATAAAATATGGTAGCTTCAGTAACTTGAACTGCTCAATTCATTAACAGTCACATGCAAACTTCAACACTTAGCTGGTACTTAGGAGACCTACAGCTAGCAGGGCATCTAAAATCTGACAGTTAGGAAATTCCTTTTGAATTCCTCATGTACATTATTCTAACATTCATTCAGCAAGCCATCACATCATCCTTCTGTACATCAAGTTTTTAATCAAAAATCACAGAACAAACCTTCAGTTTACAACCCTTCCTCTTCTCCAGAAATCTGCCCCAGGGAATTTATAAGCAGTTGCTATCTCCCATCTCTGCCATTATTAAGCCACAAAAGCCAGAGTACCTTAAGTCTTGGTCTCTCATGTAACTCCAGACTCTTCATACGGCATCATCTTTGTAGTTTGGATGTTCCTGTACACATTGCACTAGAATTTAATATTTTCTGTACATAAGTGCCCAGAACTATGTACAGTATTTGCCATGAAGTCTCCCTAATACCTTGTCTATCTCCACTGAAGAGCTCTCACTGAGGATCACATTTGCTTCCATTTCACAGACAGTATATCACATAAGAGTACCCCTGTTTGACTGTGGCAGTCAGGCCTTTTCCTCCACTCCTGTTTTAAGGGATGACCTGCCATCTGATAGCAGACTTGTTGTTAATAATCATTCAGTAGATAACTTTGCTTTTAGAGCTATTTAACTTCCTGTCATTCCTATTGCTTCAGTCATCACAGACATTCAATTCTTCCTGTGCAGTAGTCCAACTAACCTCAGTGCTGACTAGGTTTCCTAACTTAGCCTCATCAGCTAAGTTAGCTAATTATCCTTTTCATACAGTTATCTCAGCCAGTATGGCAAAGCAAAGAGACCAGCTCCCCACTAATACTGATCTAGATCAGTAATTCCTTTATTCACGCAGAGTCACAATTTCTCCTTCAGGAGACACCTCACCATTCTTCAGCCAAGCCTCGCATTTCCAGTTTAGTTATTTTCAGTGTCACGCCCGCCATGGTGTGTACACATAGAACTGAAGTCTTCTGCTCCTTTTGTCTACAACATTCAGTATTTAACCAGTAATAATAAGATTTTAGTCTTCCATGACCTAATTGTGGCAAATCCATGATGCATTTTATCCTGTTTTCCACTTATCTTTGTATACTTAAATACTTCTTCTGTTCCAAATTTGTTCTAAATCCTTGAATACTATTGAGACCAGAGTAAAAGGTGTAAAGATTTTGTTCTCTTCTCCTTTTAAAATAAACAGAACTATGTCTTTTGCTATCTTACTATCTCAACTGCTACATTCAACCTGACAGACAACAAGCAATCCTGAGGGTTTTTTTAACCTGGCTCCAGTGTTCTGTGCCAACACTCTCAGACTCCCAAAACAGACCACTTGCTGACTTAGTCTGGATTCTGGAAGCAGGCATAAGATGCTTATTCTGGTCATTTCCATGGATTTTTTATTTCTACCCTATCTTTCTTTTCTGTTCAAATCTTTATCCTTATCTAAAACTGGTTACACTTGCTAATTTTAGAGGCAGCAGATACATTTTTCAACTATAGCCTGGTCCTCACAACAACATAGCCAAGTTCTCTTTTCCTCCTCCTTTTATAATTTTTCCCCTCTTCATCTTAAATTTCTTCATCCTCTAGCTTTTGGCAATTCAGATGCTATTCCTGCAGTTTCTGCTCTCCAACAGTCAATCTACTCCTTCACTTCATTTCTTTTAGGTTTTCTGGTAACTTGCAGTATCTTACTCTCACAGCAAGGTCCACAGCCCCTCTTGGCAAACTTTCTCTCCTCCTTAAAATGCAGTTTCCAAGCAGCCGTTGTACCTTCCATTTAAGACAGTCCAAGCCTTTTCTTTTTTCTTTTTTTTTTTTTTTTAATTTTATTTAAACCTCCAACTCCTAGAGGTCTTCAACCCTGTGGACAAATCAAACAAACTAGTTCTTTTAACTTCTCAGAACGTGCCCTGCTAAAATGAAACATCCTTGAAATAAAAACACTTTGTAGCTGACATATACTTACCCTTCAGTTTAATTCAAAATTAGGAGCTCTAATCTAGCAGTGGAAAAAAAGAAACATTGTCAGCCAGTGAGAGACCAGAGATATTCCAGAATTTAAAGATATACTCTCTGGTTCTGGGCAGGCTGTAAACATGACCCTTCGTTTACTCTGCGTTCCATCACAATTAATGGCCAAAATCTACCCTATGATAATCCAGTGTACCGACTTCCAACTTAGTCAGCACTGAGAAATGTACTTACAAAAGCACATTTGAGGAACACCTTCCCTTTATACACTAGCACAGTATCTAAAAGCTGCTCTGTAGCTCCGAGCAACTCTAACAGGTTTGCAAGGCTACATTCTACAATTTGACTGAGTTTTGCCTCACTAAATCAAACTTAGCCCTCCAGATTTTGAAGCACAGCATGAACCTTTAACAGAAAACCATCTCCTTTCCAGTGGAAGACTGCACCTATATTAAGTGCCTCCAGTAACAATTTGAGATCTCCAGCATGCCTACCACAAGCCCATGAGGAGAAGGAAAGGAGGGTGCTTTTGGCCAAGTGCTACAGCAGGACACACGAACTACTCTAGCGAAGTGACAGTGAATGGTCTCCACATGAATCTGGGAAACACTGCTGCCCTCTTAACTTTAGCTTGCGACATGATTTTCTTAACGTGGATGCACTGGCATGAAGGCAGTCTGGGCCCTCTGTGCAACAGAGTGAACTTGCTGGCACAGGCAAGTGCAAGGCATCGAGGCAGTAAATCACACAAACCACCACATTCCTTCTATGCCTGCATCTCCACCGCGGTGCACAGGCACCTGCCTGCTGCCTCCTGAAACCCAGAGGGGAAACTCAGTGCCGCAGCATGAAATATCAACTGACATGCTAAGTTACTAACCCACATAAAATGAGGGCCCTGAAAGGGCACGCAGCTCGTCAACTCCAACAGCCCCACACCATGGCAAGGGCTGCCCGCCGTCCCTGATGGTGGTCTCTGCACCCAGTTCCCTTGGCCACCGTTACCATTGTGTTCATCTCTCAAGGGAGCATCTTCACGCTGCTGGTGCCTTCTGCTCTCATGACCCGTCTCATCAGCTTAAGCCAAGCTTTGCAGCAGCGGGGTGGGTGTTTTGCCACCCTTCAAATTGGGCAGCATAGCACTGGATGCTTTGAAAAACCAATCCATTGTTAGCACGAGGAAGTAACACCCTACTTTTACTTCAGAAACGCTTAAAAGTGCTTTATCTTGTTAATTCTAGGTCAGTTGAGCGCACGTGTGGTATGGATTACACTGACCTTTTTAGAGCTCCCAACATTTTTAAATAAGTAGGACACTTAACATCAGACACAAGCCAAGCCGCACACCTCCTGTACACCACACACCAAGATCTGCCAGTAGGCTTTACACGCAGAACCAAGGAATAGTTACTTTATAAAGCCTGGCTAATATGGCACATTAGTACAAATGTGAAATAAATTATAAATGCCAAGTTTGACCCAGTACCATATTAAATCAATACAGGTATTTTCCAAAAAAAATGCCTGTATTTGATGAACTAAAATGACCTCTGCAAAGCCAACCAACAAATCAGTGGCAGATTTACAAACAGAGCAAGTATTTACAGCTGAGTGATAAAATGGTCTACATTAAAGATAAAAGCTGTCTTGCTGCTTACAAAACACAATAGCATTGTCATTTCAAACACAACTGAGACATTTCATCCTTAAATATCTGAACACAGCATCTGCAGACTTCAAACACAAGCAAGGATCAACACGCAAATGACCATAAAATTCAAGTTTAAAGAAATTAATGCTATGATTCACTGGAGATGTTAATTTGCCAATGACAGGTCTTTGAAAGTTTTAACCTTCCTCTCTGCACTACAAGCTGCCATATACACTGGACCCTCGGACACAATTCCATTCTTTTCCTCCTTTTCACAGACGCCTTGTCTGAGAGAGGGAAGGAAGAAGAGAAGGAAAAAAAACCCAACATGTTTAAGTATATTACCTTTGGATCAGCCTCCTCCCCTCTCCCAGTTAAAGTTTTCTTGAGGTCAGATTAGCACTCTGAAAGGAGAGCAGGCGCCGGCAGGCCCCGTGGCAGGCGGTGCTGTGACAGATGCGGGGCAGACCCAGGGGAGGCAGCCATGTGCTCAGCCCCGCATCCCCCGAAAGGGCATCCCGGGAGGAAGTTCTCACTTCGCACCGACCCGGGCAAATAACTCGGAGGAGTTCAACAGCTATCGCTTCCAGCGGCTTTCTCCTGGGCCATATGTTTTCCCCTGACATTAGCGAGGCATTTCAGAAGAGCCAAACCGCTCTACCCGCTCTGCCGCGGACCCGCTCGCCAGCTGGGGGTCGGAGCCGCCTCTCCCGGAGGCAGGGGAGAAGCCGGCCCGGCCGGCGAGGCACCCACCCGCGACACCCACCCCACGGGGCTGCTCTCAGTCCCCGGAGCGAGCTGCCCGCCCGCCGACCCCCGGCGGCGAGGCAGGGCTGGGCTGGGCAGGGCTGGGCTGGGCGGCTCCTGCCGCAGCGCCCGGAGGGGCCGAGCCCCCGCCCGTCCCCGGGGCAGCGCGGCGCCGCCAGCACCGCACCCCCGCCCGCGCTGCAGCCCCTTCGCCAGACGCCCGCCGGGGGTGGTAGCGGGGGTCCCGCCCGCCCCCGCTCCCCGGGGCCGCCCCCGGCCAGCGGGGGCACCGCTGCGGGACGGCGCCGCGCTCAGCCCCGAGCCGACGCCGCACTCACCGTCCTGGCCAGCGCGGCGCGGGAGCCTCCCGGAGAGGAGCGAGGCGAAGCCGCGGAGAAGCGCGAGGAGCCAGAGCCGAGAAAGCCGCCGCCGCCGCCGCGAGGAGGAGGCGGAGGGGGCGGAGGATCGGCGGTGGAGGGGCGGGAACGGGGCGCGGAGGCCGGACCGAGCTGTTCGCAGCCGCCCGCCCGCCGCGCAGCCGGCGCTTCCTCTCGGCAGCCGCCGGGCCGGGCTGGCGGGGCGGGGAGCCCGGGGCGGGGAGCTCCGAGCGGGCGGGATCGCCCCTTCTCCTGCCCGCGCCGCACAAAGGGGACCCGCCGCTGCCGCCTTTGTTCGGCCGAGCGGCGCCGGCAAGGGAGGGCGGCGGGTGGCAGGCTGGACGCTTCTCCCATACGAAGATTGTTCCTCCGCCACTGGCAGACACGGAGTAACTTCACCGAAGTTAATTTAGGTCTGTGATGAAAACCTCTTCACCTGTGCCAAGCGCTGCTCGGCATCCAGCACTGAAGTCAGCCTACGCGCGGTGCTTCAGCTGCGTGTTTATGCCTCAGGAGCTGACTCCTGGTAAATTAAGGGTGGGTGTTTTATTGCTCAGGGTAGATGGGATCGTGAAGACTGGTTTCTTAGCATTCTGTCCTTGGCAGCCACCAAGAACTACTGAAAAACGAGTTTCAGATGCACCTTTACCCCGTTATCTGTGGTAGGTCACAGATCTTCTTTCAAACGTTGCTACTCATTTGCCTATTGTTCTACGTGTCCAGTTGCTCACTGACCATTGAGGTACCTTTAAAAGCACTTTTTTTTTTTTTTGGTCATAGTGCTCTAATGCTCATCCTATAAACTTCTCCCAACCTTATCGATTTCAGACCTTCAGTTCAGGTACTTGAGGTCAACACATGCAGCCCTGTCATGCCAGTTAAAAGGATAGAGGGAGGAGAATTTCCCCTCAATCACATCTCACTTAGAAGAGACTGACAGACTTACAAATGGTAAGTATGATGCCTTCTGTGAAGGGTATCTAGATTTCAGCCATTTGTATAGAGGTGGAATGAGCAAAACGACTCATTACTGTATGTTAACAAGGGACATTTTAAGAAGGCAGTAACAAAACTAGACTACTCTAGGGTTGTTAAGAGCAGGTATAAACTTGATAAGCTCTCTAACTGAGCAGCCCTCCTTAAAAGCTCTTTCCCTGTCACGTTCATTAAGCCCCAGCAGTTAAAAGATCCCACCCTGGAGCCCTTACTGTTTGCCCAGAGCTCAGCTTCCCAGACAGAGCGGTAGTGTAGCACTGATCCTTTGGTGCTAAGCCAGCTCCTCAAGTTTAGTACTAGACCAAGTTGCTTTTTTGTGCTCCAGAGAAGCAGTTTGTCAGTTCCCCTACCTATTGCCTAGAAATTTTCTGTGTGGTCCATGAGATGCCCGTGGAAAGATACAGGTAACGTGAGGAAGAAGGGGAATGTGCAGCACGTGAGTTGTTCCACATCATCAAGGACCTTCTGCTTCCTAGACATGGTAACATGGCAGCTTTAGAGAAAGAGAATCAAAAGTATGTGACTTTTAACCTTTATTCCTGTAGCTGGGGGAGGGGGAGGAAATAAATTTTTTGTTTTGTCTTAAAATTAAAAAGGGATATGGTTTGGGGTAAAAAGTCTGAAAATATAAAACAGTGTAATAACCATGGAGAAGCCATCAGGCAGCCTTAAGTAAAGCCAGTGTGCTAGAGCTACATCATACATGCGAGGTACTATTGAGATCTGCTTGCTGCATTATGCCCTAGGGACAGAAGCCAACCATCAGCCCTGTAGCTTCTGCTGAACAAACGCCCTGCCCACAGGAAGGGTACTTAATTTGTTCAATACACAGGCACCCCACCTCATGTGACCAACTTTTACTGGACATGCATTCTTTATTCTTTAGGCTGGATGTCTGTAGTAGGGAAGGAGTAGGCAAATGCATTTGTAATGTAAAACTAGGTAACTTATTCTGGCCAGAAAATTTGTCAATTCCTAGTCAAAAGAGAGGTTTGTCAATATTTTAAATTTAGATCAATGTACAAACATTTGCTAAAGCATAGGCATATTTATAGTGGTTCTGCTGTGCCTTTAGTGACAAAATGAGGACTATGGAGTTTTGTCTTACAGTACTACCTGGTAAGTTTTTCACATCCAGGCATCACATGATGGATAGCTTTATTAAATTATGCCACACTGTGCAGCTGCTTCCTCTGGGAAGAAGTATGGAATAATACAATTAAAGTCTCACCTTTTAATTTTAATATAAGTACTAAAATATGATCTTTACTCTCACCATCAAGACAAGTGACAGCCCAGCCTTTGCCTCAGACAGAAGACCAACCCATTGAAGCAGTGGTGAGAGATCTTCCCACTGCAAGACAAGTTGCAGCCATGAGCTCATCATGCACATCCATGGACTCCATCATGTTCCATATCCCTCTAATGTAACCAGCACCCTGGCCTTAGGATGACATTTAGGGGTACCTTACATGATTATCCTTGTACACAAATCTATGCATTTTGAGATACTGATTTATAAATAAATAAGCATATAAACTCCTGATTTATAAATAATATCTAAAGTAAGAAACTAATTTTATAAACATGGTTATACCTGATTAAACTCCTCTGACTCAATAAGACTGCTCAATGGGAGTAAAAAATGTGCATAAGAAATTGTGTTGTCTGGAACTGGGTTAAGAACTTCTGGAAATGAATATAAAAGTATTGCATTCAAGACTGATTTCTTCTTTATACTTTCCAAAAAACATTATTATCAAATGCATTAATCTTGTCAGTCCATTAAAATATTTCACAACTTTTAAAAGGTTTTGAGATTAAAAAAATTAACCCCCCACCTATTGATAATAACTGTCTTTCTAAATCCAAATTCTTATAAGACCTAATCAATAGGTTTACTCAGAAACAGCTGACACCACTTAAAACTATGTTAATTAACACAGATTCTCAAGGTCCAGTTCTAATGGAGACAAACTCTGTCCGCCTTTAACAGAGCCTCATTATTGTTCACGCTACTTGAACCTGCCATTAACAGTAAGTCTCCATCTCACAGCTGCTGCTAAACCTGTGGTCTGCTTGCATTCAAAGAGGATTTCAGTTGTATTTTGGCATGGCATATGCTATTCAGAATATCACCTGTAACTGTGGGTAAGAATGACTGAGCTGGTTAGCTCTAAAATCCTGTCTGTGGAAAGTTTGGGCTTTGCATACATTCTCCTTATGTAAACTTATGTGTAAGGATTTAAAAATGCAGACCGTTGCCTGTATTACTGTGGCACTCAGATTGAATTAGGCACAGCAACTCAAATACTAAGTGGTGTAGCCTTCATCCCTGCCCCTACACCTGTAGGATGTATTTAGTTCTGAGGCCCTCCAGTCAGCTGACCAGGAGGTGTGAACTGGGATCAGCAACAAGCTCAACAGACCAAGCTGTAACCTGCACCATCACCTACATCTTCTAGTGTACTCAACCTTGGTTAAATCCATTAGTGAGGCATGTGCATCATTTCGGATGGTCAACCTGGTCTGCCTGCTCAGCCTATCCAGCCATCACCTCAGCTACGCCTGCCAACGTGGAGATGAGATGGCTGGAAAAAAGCACCACTTTAGCCATCAGCTGGATCAGTCCATACCTGCACATTACTGAGCTGCATGAACACACTGAACAAAGCTCAGTGAGTGGTATTTCACAAAAAACTGGCTGAGTCCTCCATTCCTACCCTTCATGTATATCCATCTGCTTGCACAAGCTCTGTAGTCTTTGTGCACTGGACAGTATTATGTAAGTTTGGGGTTTTTTTTTACTTTAATCATAAGCTTTGTAGAAAATGTGTAAGCAGTGTGTTAGTAGAGGCTGTAAATGGTGCAGGTATTTAGAAAAGCTGGGAAAAGTACTTTCTCAGTATTGTTTGAAGCAGGGCACTGATGACAAAGGAGAAGTGTTAGTCATGCTAACCCATTCTTCTGGTGGTCAATAGTGTGGTGAAAAAATCCAGAAACACCCTTCTCAGCTCCCTGAAGGTCTCGGCACTACTTAGAATGGTTTGTGCAAGAGACCCTTGTGTAAGAGACCCTTAAGGTAATCTAGTTCCAGTCACCCTGCCATTAGCAGGGACACCTTCTACTAGAGCAGGTTGTTCAGAGCCCAGTCTGATCTGGTCTTGAAACTTCAAGGGATGTTCCAGTGCCTCACCACGCTCATAGTGAAGAATTTCTTTCTTATCTAATCTAAACCTACCCTCTTTCAGTTTAAAGCCATTACTCTTGTCCTATCTTTAGGTCTTAGGAGGCCTTACTTATGAGATTGTTACAGCTGTTTATTTTCCAGTTTCGGAAGGCGTGTGGAGGAAATCCTAGCCAAAATTAAGGAACTGAAAGGTGTGAGGCCACAACTACATCACTGACATCTTGCCTCAACCCATGCAGTAAGAGAAATAAAGACACGTCTGCCCTTTTTTCCTACATACACCTACTTAGAGAACACAAACCCATTAAAGCTGAGCCAGACAGTTATCAGTTCTTTAATTAGCTTGTCCTTTTAAGTGTCCCAGGAAGATTATTATAAGAAATACCATATGATTGCCCAAGAACAAACGAGATATGCTTTTAAACACCCTTTATTACTGACATTGCATAAGCATTCCAACAATCAAATCTAACAGTTTGTTATCATAGTTCCAATCCCTTTGGCTTAGCAGCAGCAAAATGAATACCATGTCATATCTCTTCTCAGCAAATAGCTGCCTGCCTTTGTAAACAAAACTGTCAAGACTGATTCTCCATACACATTTGCAAATTATACCCATTGGTTATGTGTCTTGCGGCATATTTAGTGTGCTGCCAAGGGAATGCTACCCTCACATTAGTTTTTTTATGTTACCAACACCATAATGTCATCAGGGAAAAATTGTAGGTACCTTGCAAACTATGGCTTAAATTCACAAATGTCTCCTACAGAACCCTGATGACAGACATACTTATTAGCTAGTTAAAACCATTCAAACCTGGCAGGTAAATGCACTTCAAGAGTGATTCCTTGATTACTCCAATAAACAAGAATCATGCAACCTTATAGGAAGTGACTAAGTGGCTATATACTTATTTTACTCCTGAACTTGTTATAGGTAGTAAGAAACTTTTAATTACAATCTCTGAACATTGTATTTTCTTTCTAAGTGTGTATTGGTAGTTGCAAAACACCTTTTCACTAGCAACAGGTGGTTTACTGTCCTTGCCCTCAATTAAATCCATGAGTGAGAAGCATATGTGATATCCTGATATTCAGCCTGCTCGAAAGGGCAGAGCCCTGTGTCCTTATCCCCACACCAGCATTTTACTTACTGTCTGGCCACCAGGAATTCACTTCAATTCCTTGTCTCTGTTTAAATGTATGCAATATGATAATAATATTATTTACTTCAGGGATAAGGAGAGTAAATTAGTTAATGTGTACCCTGTGCTCTAAGAATATGGAGCAAAACATTATCTTAATGCTATAATTTCGGGGCACCCCCTTGGGCATTTCATGTTTTTTGAATTTTATTTAACCTGCATAATAAAAGCAGAGGATGAAATTGATAATCACTAACATATTTTAAAGGAAAAATTCCCTTTTTGTGATTTTGGTGTGATCATACACCAAATGACCATGCCTCATTAACAATAATATGAAATATATTAAAATACAATAATATAAAATATATTAAAATACTTATAATAAAATTACTGTAACTTTGTTGCTTTCACTTAAAAAAGTAAGCTTATTTTTCATATAAAAATAACTGTCATGCTAGTTTTGACATGTTGTGTTAATGATATGTAATAAAGTAATGTCATTTCAACAAAGATTCTAATTAGTTGTCAGTAACACAATATAGTCGTGTATAATTCTAAATTTAGTGTGTGAGGAGAACTGCCTTGTTCTCATTACAGGGACTAAAACCACAGAGCATCACATTTCTCAGTATTCTATGAGAGGAATATAAGAACAAACGCATGACCACGTTAGAGAAGGGCACATAACAACAGAATTAGTAACAGATAGAAAATGTGATGGCACTAAACTGCAGAACATAATTCATCCATGGAGAAAAACCCCACCCTACTCCTATGCTCACATCAGCCTGCAGCTCTCTGGCTGTTGCACAGCTCTCAAACACTGGGGCAGGCATTTCTTTTCTTCAGCTAATCAAGCCAGCATGGGAAGTGATGCTATCAGGGAAGTCTAGATCAGAAGGGGAGATGAGAAAGATCTAGCAGATCCTATAGCACACAGTAAACACTAGGGGAGAGGGACTACAGGAGTCATTCATTGCCTGTTGCATGGCTTTCTCCTTTAATTCCCAGGAGCTAGAAAATTCAAAAGAGGACAAGATTGCTGAGTGTGACTGAGTATCACCCAAGCCAGCTGAGTTGCGGTGTGGGAATAAACCCAAAAGCTGTGAGTTCTGATTTCAGGGTCTCTCCATTATTAAACTGTTATGCGAGGTGCAGAACTAGCTCAGAAGCACATGGGGAAAATGACAAAACAACACACCTAGTTCTCAAGAACTAAACATGGTCTGGATTAGTAAATTATTAACCCAGACAGTAGTGTTCATTTTTTTTGAAAGAAAGTTGCTGTAGCCTTTTTTAAAGATGTGGTTACTTATTGTTTTCCTCAGAAAAGACGGTCAGCTTTACAAGGATCTTGGGAACAGTAAAGAAAAAAAAGAAAGAATATTAAAAGATGAGCGTGAGCTGAATAATATGTAGAAATTAATAACTTGCTATTTAAACAACTATGATATATCAAAGATAAATTAATCATAATGCTTATTTCATGCTATCTTTTGTATTTGTACAATTTTTTAAGTACTAGGACAGGCTGCTTATACTGAAGCACTTTGCAATCACAGTAACACGCTAATGTGACAAGCAAAAGTCTTAATGAAAGGCTGAAGTATAAGGTTAACACATGAAATCTTGTATTGCCTTTATAGTTATGTACATGTTTTTTCCCCTCTTTGGTAAAGCACTCTACTAATAAGAACAGATGCCACTTTCTCAAGAACTTCATCTGCAAGAATTGCTGCCCTGAATCAGCTCTTTCCCTTTTTTTTTTTCCAGTTTACATGAAGAGGGGTGGCAGCAACACTCCCTGCAGAATATGAAACTGCCCGACCTTCCAAGCCTTGCTTTTTCTTCCTTACTTGGCTTCTCTGCCGGGAATAGCTCATTCAGCAGCACAACAGGCAGCACAACATGGCCTTATACATTGTCTAGCCCCAAATGTGCGATACCATGCTGGCACTCACCCACAGCGTTCCTCCAGTGGAGCTGCAGGTGTGTTCCAGGCACTGCTACCTCCAGGACCTGCTTTGAAGAGTGCACCAGATACCCTGGCAAGGGGAGGTTGGGAAAAAAAAAAAAAAGAAAGAGAGAGAAAAAATCAATCCATGTTACTGCATTGGAGCTACTCATAAAGGGCCTCCCCCCCACCCCAAGTTATCAGCTCTTGCTGCTAGTAGGTATCTGATGATATTTATATAGTGCATGTGGGTAGTGACTGTGTCCCTTTCTCTGTTGGCTGTTCTGAGAGCTTCTTTTGACAGCTGATACATGAAAAGATTTGTTGTTTTTTGAAATGTAGTGGTAGAGGTTTTATACTTTGGGCCAGAGTGTCAGTGAAGGTTCTTTAGTGATGTGTGCATTGGAAGTGACAAGCAGTGAATAACTGACATCAGGCATAAGTAATATTTGTAGTCTGACTTTGATATGTTATTCTTTAAAAAAATCCAGTCTGTAAATACAGTCTACATTTGTTAGCTTGAAAGGAAGGAAAGGGGATGAGTGCAAATACAGAAGACAGAAATGGAAAACAGTAAAAAAAAGAAAAAGCAAGCAGAAATAAGCTGATAAAGATAAAAAGGAGTGAGAGTATTAAAAGAGAGAATATAGACATACA